GGGGAGGGGGAGGGAGGGCAGGTTGAAGGTGATGCCGGGGAAGGGTGTGTGGAGGAGGGGAGGGGAGAGAGGGGTATTCGCCGGGAGCAAGTGAAAACCAAGCAGGAAAAGGAGGAGGGGGAGGAGGAGGGGGAGGAAGTAGGAGTGCTGCTGAAATGTTAATGAAACAGCAGATTCCGGAGTATATCACAGGAACGCTCCTGTACAAATAGGGAACGAACGAACCACCTGGAAGAATCTTATTACGTATAACAGACGAGGTTACAGACAGATATAAACTTGATATAAATGCCCACCATGCCTCTTAACTTAAAGATAGTGCGACTTTCACCCCCTCCCCCTCCACACCGTTTTGTTAGTTATCTACCCTCCTCAGCGCAAGTATAAAGTCCTTATCTTGCCCCCTTGGTGGGTGGGGGGTGAGTGTGGGGGGGTGAGAGGGGAAGGAAGGGGGGGAGGGTTTGGCGACAACATCGCAAAGTGCGCACACATCCTTCCCTAACCCTAACAATCCATTTTTTATTAACAATCCATTTCGAAACACAAACCCCCCTGGCCGGCCTGTTTCTCTCTCGCTATACCCCCCCCCTCCCGCATGCAGCTCGCAACCTGGGTGGCAAGGCCACACACACGCCGGGGAATGTCATATCGCTTTGTCAGGTACGAATATTGTGTGTATGTACATATGTATGTATGTCGTGTGTATGTGCGTGTATGTGCGTGTATGTGCGTGTATGTGCGCGCGCGCTTTTTTAGGAGGGTAAGGGATGGAGTTTCCACATCATGGCCGACTTTAACGGAGCACGTGGTGGTTCAACTACCTACCTACCTGTAAATAATGTGGAGTATGTGGAACATTGTTTTGCGGATGTTGATCGGGAGAATGATGCCAGAGCGGGTAGTGCGTGTGTGCGTGTGTGTATGTGTCCCGGGGCACCTAAAACCCTGTGTGACATCCCCCTTCCCCCCACACACACTTCCCCCCCCCCCCACACACACACATTCATCATGGAAGAGAGCCCCTTAATCAACAGAGCGAAGTGAATTTCCGGTGTCCAGGGCTCCATTTTTTTCGTTCCCCTTTCTGGATTTTGAATTTGGATTTAAGTTTGAATTGGGGTTTGAATCCTGTGTCTTCTGCGACCCTATCCCCGTACAAAAACGCAGGACGGTATGTTCAAGCGCGCTCCAGAGCTAGGGGAAGAGGAGGAGGGGGAGGAGGAGGAGGAGGAGGAGGAGGGCGGGGACGCCTCACCCACACACGAGGAAGCCGATGTCATGCTCAGCAGCGACCCACGGGTCGATGACCCGGACGACGAAGACGAAACCGACCCCCGTACCTCTGTACATCGTGGTACGACTGCGGCGCTGAGTACCGCAGCATCCTCTGCCGCCGCCGCCGCCGCCGCCGCTGCAGCGGCTACGTCAGGGGTGTCGGCCCGCCGTACAGGGTCCACGGCCCCCCCTGGGGGGGGGATGTTCCATGCTCACTCTAGCGCCGCGATTCGCGAGCAGGAGGATGACGACATCTTCCCGTCGGACCTCCCGGACTACCCCGCATTCGCACCTCGGATACCGCCCACCCCGGCTGCCGTACTCACGGTGTCCGAGGCTGACGGAACCAGCAGCATGCGACAGCACATGGGTGAGCCTCGGGCATCATCGCCTATTATTCTCGAAATTGGAGATATTGGGCTGCTGGCTGTTTGCCATATGTTCCATATTTATTAAAATTACTCGTTTTTCAGCTCCAGCCAGACTATATGGATGCCCAATTAATGTTTCCTCTCCTAAACCCGCTTCCCTCTCCCCCCGGTCGGGTCGGTCGGGTCGGTCGCGTTTTAGTCTTGGGGGGCTGGGAGGAGCACTTACATACCGACAGCCTTTCAGTACCAGCAAATCAGCTAATTCTCCAGGCCAGCAACTTTATGCCAGCTTTACGACAGCACTGCTTTACTACTTTTCCGCCGCCTTCACACCTACTTTTCTACACCTACTTCTCTACGGCTTGGCAATACTATTCTTCTGCTTTTTTAGTCCTGGCGGCTTAGGTAGGTAATCTTTCCGACATCTTCACTTCGTCATCCCGAGGTCGCGGTCTTCACGGACGCCTTTCGGTCAGTTCTACGTTTGATACACTCTTGCCCTGGCAGCAGCTTCAATCGTGTGTGGTTCGTCTTTCCCCCCCACCCGCCACACACCCCTCCCCCCTCTTCGGGCAGTTGGTTGGTCGTTGGGGCGTGTTGGCCTTTTGGCGACCAGCTGAGTAGACCAGGATCTTTTAGGGGGGTTAGATGTGCCACCTCGTGGGGGGCCCCTGCTTACCCCCCTTTGTGGGTCGTCTTACCCCTCTACTTGACACTCCTAGGGTTTTACCCTAAAACCCCCTCCTTACCCCCCCCCCAACGCCGCACACACACAAACCGGTGTCGTACCCCGAAGGGCTATTGGTGGAGTCTCTCATGTCCACCCTGCGGAGTACGGCACAGATCGATGACCATTTCGACAGGTACGACACTGTACGGCAAAACTCATGATGTACTCTTCCTTCTGACCACTGAACCCACCACCAAAAAACCAGAAAGGTAAAGGATGAAAAACGAAACCTCGAAACCACATAAGAAGAAGAAGAAGAAATTGGAGTTCAAAGCAATTTCTCTTTTCCCCGCGCGTGCGCGCTTCCCTCTCCCTCCACCTTTCCCTTTCCCTTCCCATCCTTTATCCGCCCCCTTTTTGGGCCAAGATCGTTTTATTCCTTCCCTTCCCATACCTTTCTAAATTGCGTCCCTTTTTGCAGTGCCGTGGTTTCGGCGCGTCGCTCCATGGATTTGGAGCTCGAGGATCTCCGTCTATCGGGGGTGCTCGGGGACGGCGGGTCCGGGGTGGTGCTGTGCGGCATGCTGGGCACCGTACCGGTAGGGTGTGTGTATGTTTGTATGTGTGTATGTTTGTGTGCACGTAGTACTATTATTGTTATTAACGCGCCACCGCCTAAACGCAGCAGGCGCGTGTTAAGGGGCAAGGCCGGAGAGGTCATTATGGCCCCTAGCCCCTTACGGGTATCACAGATACGGCGTTCTCTGCACCTCCCGCCTCCCTCCACCTCGCCGTGTACACGTGTATGTATGTATGTGTGTATATGTGTACGGCGAGGGAATGTGTCTGCATGACGTTTGGTGTCTCGGTTTGGCACGCACTCGACGCATATTTACACCCATACACACACAGACAAACAGGCTTTCCCCTCCAAAACCTGTCCATGTTCCCCCTGGCCGCCCCTGGAGTTATGGACCCTCAGACCTCACAGCCGTACCTCCGTTTTATTTATCCCCCGGGGTACATCTGGGGGCCTCAAATTTCCCCCTCAAATCTCCCTGTCGTACAGTAGTAATACACACACGCACACACGCACACCCCGTTGACAGGTGGCGATAAAGATCATTCAAATGCCGGAAGTGGATCAACTTCAATTCGCATCCACTGTCAAGGCGCTCGGTCAAGAAGGCGGTGGCGGCGGCGGCGGAAAGTTACCAGCGCCGCCGGCGGTGGTGCCCCCGGCGGCGGCGCCGCCGTCACAGCAGCCGCGTCATGGGTCATCTCCAGGCGGCGGCGGCGGCGGCGGCGGCGGCGGCGGTGGCGGCGGCGGTGGCGGCGGCGGCGGCGGTCCGCCACAGCACGGCCAGCAACAGGTTGCGCCGTACGACGGCAGCGGTGGCGGGCAGGTGGCCGCGCCCCCCGGCCGGGTTTCGGTGTCCTCTTCAAAGTTGAAGCAAGCGCGGCGGGACATGCTCCGGAATGCGATGGAGTTGGCGGTGATGCGGAGCATCAGCCATGTGAACATCACCACGGTACGACATAGTAGGGGGTCGTTATTTAACCCGCCGGCGCGCTGACGGGGTGGGCCATGTGCGTGTGTGTGTGTGTGTTTTGGGGGGTTAGGGAAGCGGGATGTGGATTGGTTATGATTAGACATGCATGCGCATGCGCGCATACACACAGACAAGTGCAGATGAAAAAGCGCATTCCCCCTCTACCTCTACCTCACCCTTCGCCTGCCGTACCCGTCGTATCCAGGTGTACGCCGTGTACGACAATGTCATTCTCGAGCGCGTGAAGCGCGACGGCGGCTCCACCGCTTACACGCTTCGGCGCCAAGGGCCGGGGGATATGCAAATGGATAAGGCGGGTGCGTTTTAATGAGGTTTTAGCGGTTTTAGCGTTTTAGCGGTTTTAGCGGTTTTAGCGGTTTAGCGGTTTATTTGCGTTGGATGCGGTGTAAGGACTCCATCCGGGTGTATGTGCCCGTAGCCTCGTTACATACACATAAAATATATATAATAATATATATAATATATATATATAATATATTACACATAGGTACATATATAAATACACATACATACGTACGTACGCACATGCAGGTTCCAAGCCTGTGTTCGTGGCTCTGTGTATGGAGCTGTGCGACTCGGGCAGCCTGGCCTCCAAGCTGGAGGAGCGCTCCTTCCCGCGGACGTACTACGTCGATAACGGGGAGACGGGCCGCTCCAGGGGGACCCGGGTGCTGGATATGGTGGTGAGGGGGGCTTGTACGGGGGCTTGTACGGGGGCTTGTACGGGTAACAAGGTTGTAGGGAGTATTTCAGTGAGGTTTTAGGGTTTTAGGGTTTTGTAGGGTCCGGTTTTGTAGGGTTTCTTTGTGCCATCCCACTTTGTGGCTTCGTGCTATCTTTTGTGTTGTATTGATCATGTGTGGGTTTATGGACTGTGACTTCCTTGATGGTGTCCAATTTGTGCGGGGCATGGGGGGCATGCCGTGCGTTGTTTGCTGTGTTTGCTGTGTTTGCTTTGTTTGCTTTGTTTGGGGGCTTTGTAAGCATTTACGGCGCATAACCCTGGGGTTTGCGTCTGTTTGTATGGCTGTATGTGTGTTGGGGCCGCATTTTGTGTATTGAGGTTGTGTATCCTCCCCTCCCCCCCCCTCCCCCCCCTTCCCCTCCCCTCCCCCCGGGGCCCCCCCCCGCACCACCACCAGGGTATCTACCTGACGGTGCTGGAGGTGGCGTGCGCTCTGAGGTACCTGCACGCTAGACGATTGCTGCACAGAGGTAGGGCGGCGAAAGAGGGAACTTGTATCGTGTACTTGTATACGCGCGTGCGCGTGTGCGTGTGCGTGTGTGTATGTACGACATCACATCTGACCGGGAAACCTGCCAATGCGGCTCTTCAAGAGCAGCCACTTGATTTGCCCTAAAAAGTCGCCCCCGGGGGGGTTGTCGGAGGGAAGTCACTGTCAAACCCTCCCGTTCACAAAAGGGGGGAACGTATTGGGGTCGCCGCGCGCGTGTGTGTGTGTTTTGTGTGTGTTTTGTGTGTGTGTATGTGTGTGAAGTGTACGCAGCACCCACCCACGGCCCCCCCCCCCACCCCCTCCAGACATTAAGTCGGCCAACATCCTGTTGCGCTCGAGTCCCACCGACCCGCGGGGTTGGACGTGCAAGCTGGCGGACTTCGGATCGGCACTGGTGCTGGACCAGGTGTGGGTGGTGGGAATGTATGTATGTATGTGTGTGCGTGTATGTATGTATGTGTGTGCGTGTATGTATGTATGTGTGTATATATGCAGGTGTTTATACGGAGGGGTCGTCGGGGTTTGGGGGTGAGTGCTGCTGCTGTGGCTTTCAGTGCTACTGCTACTGCTACTGCTGTCCTGTGTCATGCCCGCCTGGTCTCGCGCTCTGAGTTGGCATCCTTCACATCCCCTCCTAAAACCCCCAAACACGTACAAAAATACACACATACACACATACACACCCTTCGCGACTCCCCCCCATCTCCATGTCCGCCCCCCCCCCCTTGACCGGTCTGTGTCCCAGTTCCAGCCGCCCGAGGAGGGTCCGGGGGGGGGCCCCCCGGTGGATGAGGTCGGGGGGTTGGCGGTGCTGGGGGGGGAGGTGGGGATCGGGGCGGGGGGGGGAGGAGCTGGAGGAGGAGGGGGAGCTGCTGGCCGGTGGTTCGCCATCCAGGAGCAGTCCTGGGGCACGTGAGTACCAGTGGTGTGTATGTATGTATGTATGTATGTAAGTTTGTGAGTGTGTGTATGTATATATGTGCGTATGGTGGGGGGTAGGAGCTGGGGCCGGGTTTCTCTGGGCGGGCGGTAGAGGGGGGGAGGAGGGGGGAGGAGGGGGATAGGGACCCCGGGCCCGTGGGCGGAGGCCTCAACCAACCCAGGCCTTCCAACGGCCTTCCAACGACCTTCCAACGACCAACCAGCACCGGCTTCTTTCCCCCTCCCCCCTCCCGCAGGATCACCCACATGAGCCCGGAGAGCATGGACAACAGTAAGTACGACAGCTGGCTGCTGTATATAACGATTTTTAATGGTCTTGGACTTCTGTGGGGGGCCGAAGCCAGTGTGTTTAAAGAAGGATTGTAATCCTTAGAAATGGTACATCGAGGGACGGGTGTTTTCGGAGCTGAGGGATGGGAATGAGAAATGGATTTGCGTTCGGACGAACGAAGGGGGTTGGGGGGAACGTCCCCGTCCTGTTTTCAAACCGGCGGCTCTGACACGCGTGTGTATGTACGTGTGTGTATGTTGGGGGGGTGGGATAACAGTCCTCGACGACCCCCGCCCCCGAGGCTCCTCTTGAGGATGGAGGGTCCGGATGGGATAATTAATTTTAATCCCCCTTTTTAAAACTAAGAAAACCCTCAGCCCTAAGTTACATGGTGGCTGCTTTGATTGGTTGGTATAACTGCTTCATCCCGTACTGTGATTTGCCGCCTGCCTGTTATGAATGGTGATGCCAACGGCCCAACTACCTTTCCGTTATTGACCCCTCCGCTGTGCAATCCGTCGTGTGTGTATTTACACACACCTACATACAGACTCCCGAGTGGATGCATCCAGCGACATCTTCGGTGAGTTGGTGGGGGGACGGGTAAAACCAGATGTGCTGTCAGTTTGCGGAGGGGGAGGTCGGAGATTGCGCTGTGTGTGCGTGTCCGTGAGCTGGGGCTGGGGAGGGAAGTGGGGATGAGGGGTGTTTCTGGGGTTTTGTCGTACTTGTACTTAACACGGACGTGTGGGTGTGTGCTGAGATTGTCGGTGCAGATCCACCTTCCCTCTTGCCCTGCTGCTGCGTGCTTTCCGCCAAAACACATGCCGTACGAACCCACAATTAAACCCCTCTGCCAAAAGATAATTACACAGTCCTTAAAAACCCTTCACCCCCTCGCCTTCCCCTTCCTCCCCGCCGCGGGGCATTTTCCGTACAGCACTGGGTATTGTGATGTGGGAGATCGCTAGTGGTCGGGGATATCGGCCGTACAAGGAGCTGGCGCCTGAGCAAATTGGGCCTGCTGTACGGCGGGGCCTGCGGCCCACGTTCACC